AATGTGCTTCTTTCTTTCTCTATACAGAGCTTAAACAGGGGTTATGGGTGAGATATTTCATTTCAGTAGGCTCAGGTTCAGCAAATCTCACTCACTGTACTTTGGTATGATACGAATGTCTGGAATAGAAGGATAGGGCCCTGAGAGACCATCCTTTGCTAACCTTTTGTTTTTTTCCCCCTGAAATCAGAAGAGAAAGATCATTTTAAAATAATAACAACAGTGAAGTTAATAAATATATGTGGAGAACTGAAATCTACTGCCTGTCCTGTTCCAGAAATAATACTTTCTCCCATAAGACAGAAAGATATGAGGCTGCACAGCAATGGATCTGTAACTCCCTTCCAGCTAACGTATGTTCTGCCCTACTTTATTATTTCTGTGCTGGTCTGTTGAGGACACGGAAACCCTGGCCACAGTGCTACAGAGAGAAGTATACAAGATTCTTCCTCAAGATTTGCCATCACTAGGATGTCTAGTCAGTCTTAAAGTGATAAGAATGGCCCTTCCTTGGCCCTGTGAACCACAGGACAATCTAGTTAAGAAGAAATGAGAACGACAGTGATTAAGAGAGACTGAATTTATGGGAAAATGAAATTTCTTTTTATTAGGACAAAGACAATATTTGGAAAAAAAAGAACCAGAAAACTAGGCGAAGCAGAGATCTGTGAGAATTTGGCTGAGCAGAAAAAAAAAAAAAAAAAGATGGCTAATACCTGAAGGATGTTAACAAGGACAGGCAGTAAAGTCCTCAACCCCTGCAGGACAGAGAGTAAGAGGAAGATAATTACTGTTTGTGAGAGGTTACCAGGAGGTGCAGTGCAGGAAAAAGTGTAATGAACCGTAAAACCACTGCCTCTGTTAAGGTCATGATTTTTAGTCTCCAGTAGAATTATGAATCTCAGTTTCCAGACTCACCTTTTGAAGGTTTTTTTTTGTGGGAATAGGGCTCAGGAAGTCCTCCGTACGATAAGGAAGGCCTTCCGTATATCTAGACAAATACAAATTTGCTGTGATTTATTTAGTTCAACATGAATAAACTCCTAAACTGTACATATATATGTATATGGTACAAAAGTCAGAGGAAAAAGTATTTTCCTTTTTTTTGTTTTTCTGATCTCTCAGCATAATCCCTAGCATTGACAAAAAAAGACCATGCTACATTCTGTTCTCCCTTATATTACGATTTTTCAGTGAAGTTAAAGCTGCAAAGGAATAATGAATAGTTCTCATGATTTTGATATTTGGTATGTCAAAACCTATTTATAATCTTCAGAGAGATTTCAGTAGTCATTGTATTTGAGTGCACTGCTAAGCCTGGTATTCATAATAACAAAGGGGAAATAAAAAGGGAACTTTCCATTTGCTAATTAAAAGTTGTCATGCTTTTAGTTCTTGAGTGACTGACTCAAGACAGTTTCCTCTATTGCAGATGCAGAGAGAAGATTAATGTAAAATCCCTTTTCAAATTTTTAGTCTTATCTATTGTGTTCACTTTTTTACAGAAATGAACAAAATGCTTTTCTATCCATGACTTCAGATGTGCTGTAAAAGATATTGCTCCAAGATTGACAGTGGTAGATTATTATCAACCAAGCAGGGAGCTCCAAGGCATTTAGGTGCATATTTTAGAAGGTTTGTAGACACCTTTACCACAGATTAATTCCAAAAATCCATCTTTAATACTAATGGGAGATATCTTTATACACAGACATGTATATATACCTACATATGTATGTGCATAGAGATCTATAATAACATATCATAAAGATCCGTTGATTATCTTTATGCTGTAGCTGAAGTGAGGTGTTTGTATACTCTCCTGTTAAATGTGGATTGTATTTGTTGGTCTGAGATTTCTCAGGCCTATTCTCTCTTTATATGGACAACACATTCTGGGTAAAACCCTCCCTAAAGCAAACACTCAGTTCTGCGTTACATCTCTGAATCTGCAGAATAAATACATGTGGTTTCAACTTCAGTCCTTTAACAACAAATTATTTATGTAACCTGTCAAAGCCACACAGGACAAGGAGCTGCACAAGAAGAAGCTGAAGCACATAAACCATAGTGAGAAGCATAAGGCTCACATCACAGACTAGTTTTTCCCTTTCGGTATTTAGTCCACTAAGAGTGAATTATTCATTACAATCGGGTGACAGCTCCCCTAGTCTTGCTATTTTGTCTGTAAGTTTGCTGAAAATTAAAGCTCAACATGAAGCCTCCAGAGAATTATTCTGAGTTAATAACACCTGCAAAGAACAGAGATTTCACTGTGAGGTAAATTGCTGTGTGACTGCCCACACATCAGCAAAAGTTATAATTGGAAGAAACTGAATATTTTCTCTGTGTTTAAATGGTGAGGATTTTGTGAGGTGTCATTTTACGTTAAGTAGTAGAGTTATAATTGAGAATGTTTCACAGCAACAGACTGTGTTTGTTTTAACAGCAAGATTTATTTTCTATGAGAAGATTTCTGTTACTGTCAGCTGCTATTGCGGTTTTGTGCAATAAACATTTAGAAACCTTTCTTAATCTTAAGCAAAATTGTCAGAGATTGGAGTTTAACTGTGGATTTTTTTTCTTGTGATTTCCTGTGAATTTAGAAGTTGATTCTGTTGCCTCCCTATCTGTATCTCATAAATAGCAAGCAGCTTCTCCCTGGACAGCAGTGGAAATTACCTGAGGCATACTTTTTTGTTTCTTCCAGATGTTTCAGAAATATATTCATAACTAACATGACAAATTCAGATATAGCTTCTGGATCAGATTGGATATTAACATTATTATCTATCCAAAAAAGGACAGAGAAAGAAAGAAAAGAGAATTATCTTGTCTATGTATGGTGCTGAATTTTATATTTTGAGGTGTTATTTTCTGCATTTTCAGTGAGTCCTGTGCCAATTCAAAACTCATGTTTAACGTAAGAGGCAGGCTTGTATCTGACAACAATAACACAATCCAAGCCAGAAATGGATAAAGCTGGTATCACTGAAGACAGGTCTACATGGACATTTGCAGACAGACCTCTTTTTTTCCTATGCTTTGAAATGAACCAGCTCTGTTCCACAAGCCAAGTATCCTCGTTAGCAAGATGCAGTGCTGTGCTCAGTAAGCTGACCAGAGATTTAGTTGGCTGACTGAGGTACATTGCCATCTAACATGGCTGGGTGTGCCTTCTGGGTTGGAACTACGTGGGCTCTGTCTGCTCATCCCTGGGCAAACGAGCAGTGTGACTGGTAAACTTACGTGGTCTCATTTAAATGACAATGTACAATTTATTTGTCCAGTCAAAAAGCGTTTTGAGTCTTACATCGCAGCACGCACTTTGTTCTGGAGAATATACCTGAATTACCCACTGAATACTACCATGAATCTTTTGGTATACTCTTTAGTCCATTCTCATTTCTGCTCCTTTCACAGAGAACTTAAGCACTTGGGATTATAGTCCAAGTTAGGTTGTATATTTTTCTTTCGTTTTTTCCCTCCAATTACAACACAAAGAAACTGGTGAAAAGCTAAAGGAAGAGGAACATTTGTAGGAGAGTGACATCTGATTTCAGATATGTACTTCAAGTGCAATGGAACTTGCTTCAGTAAATTCCTGTTACATGCCTTTTACAGTTACTGGAATAAAATATCTCCAGTGCCAAAGGCAAACATATAAGATATAGGGAACTCACAACTGCACAGATGTGTTAGACATAGTAATATGTGGTGGCTGCTGCTGCTACACATAACAGCTGAGCAACATAGCTATTCTTACGGTAACATAGATCAGGGCTAATACAGCAGAGATTCATTTCCTTGAAGCATCGTGGGAGTTAGTAAAGAATAATTTGCTGGGCAAGATTAAGCTTTTTAGGCTCAGATAATTCTACTGCCTGGTCCAGAGGTCACCGAGAAGCCTAATGAAATAATAAATCAATACTGACTGACTAATACTCTTTTTCCACAACTCTTCAAAGCATTTTTCTTTTTTACTTAGCAAAGGAGCTGTAGGTAAGTTCGCCTCCAGCACAGAACTATCTGTGAAAGTCTTGCCATGGGCAGGAGAACATGCCATGGGTTCAGCTTTAAATTTTTGATCTCTGTGTCATGGCTCATGAATGATCCTAGAATTTAACTCAGACATTACAGAGATAGGTGAAGACTTAATATTTGGCTCAGGGCTCTAAGGAAGAGGAGAGGAAGCAGGTGCATTGTGCAAGCAAACCTCTGTGTGTCAACAACCATGCACACATCAGATGAATTTATCTGCTCCAGCTGCACTGCTCTAAGAATGGATCATTCAGTACGTCTTTTTCTGATGTGTTATGTATCTGAAGTGTGCTGTCAGTTTACTTCAAAGAGCTTTGTGGGTTTGGGAGTATAATTGTAAGGATGATGCAGTATTACAGTAGCATCCAGCAGTATGAGCTAAAGTACCGACTAACAGCATCCTATTGTGCTCTGTGCTGTATAGTGGGAGTTAACCCCCTGTCCAAGACAACAGTGGAAGAAGAAAAAAGATGACTCTCATTTTACAGAGGGGAAAAAAGATGCACTAAGAATGTTGAGAAAATCAATGGCAGCTCAGAGAAGCAGAGGTGGAAATCTGAAGAAGGTGTTGTTCTTTAGGCTTCTAGCCCATGTTTTCAGACTTTCTATGTGACAGACAAACTTATGTCTTTTCATAGCTATTCTTCTCAAAATGTGACACCCATGGAAAAACCATCTCACAGAGGGATGAAAAACACCCAAATTGAAAGAAAGGGATCCAAGCTATGCAAACCAGATTCAGGCTAGGTTGAGTTAAAAAAGATGGTTTTCCGTCCCTGATTTGTCATACAGATATGTGCCTGAATTTAGATGCTTTACGTTGAATTAGGTTCTGAACTTTTCCACAGTTTATGGGAGTTTGTATACAGAAGTTGCATTTATATCTAACTTTGAAATCCTATTGGAAGTTAAATGTTGTAAAAGAGGAAAGAAGTAAAGGAAAAATGTTGCTTTTCTAGGTTGTCCTGGGGCCAAGAAGAATGAATTCCTAACTAGTGTTTTGGATGCCTTGTCCACAGATATGGTGCATGCAGTTTCTGATCCATCTTTGTCTTCTAGCCGGTGAGTTTTAGATCCTCTTCATGTGTTTTGGTAGCAGTGAATGAAGTGTGGAGAGTTTTGAGAAGTAATTCTACCTCTGCCTTCACAATAAGTAAATTTCCAAAAATTGATCTGAGAGAGCTTACTTCAAAGCTACCACTGTGGAAAATATCCACTAAACAGACATGTATCTGATGGCTGAATTCTCATCAGCAGCGCAATGTAGAGTTTATCTGTAGCTGTCCATACAACTATGTGTTGGTCTCACTTCATTTTCCTGTCAGACTTCTCTTGATGAATGTGTGCTACCTTCCAGATTCGTATTCTGCCTAATGTCTTCTAAAATGCTATCAACAGTCACAGCTAGAATGAAAAATAAGTAAGTGCTGTAGAACTTTGGAAGTCTTGTAGGTCAGTTGCTTACCATCTGAAGAGGAGGTGGCATTTATTATCCTTCTGTTACTTACCCTCTACTGAATACATTTAAGTGTTTAAGAACGTCCATTATATACTAGGAATACTAGGAGTCTAGGCATTTGCCTGTGCTGATTGTTGGCCTCCTTCTGTTGGGTATGTTATATGTTTTCATCTATGGAACTGTCCTTTTCACTTTTCTGTGCTTCAGGAAATAAAAGGGGAAGGCATTGTTTTCTGAGTATAGTGTAGACCTAAGCAGGGTTTCAGAGGGTTAGTTAAGAGCAGATTCCAGCCTTTAGAGTAAGATTAGGGATACAGCTGGCCACAGTAAAAATAAGGGGATTCACTACAAGAAAGTAGTGTCCAAAAGCAGAGAGGTTCATCTAACAAAGCACCTAGTGATCTGACTATTCATCAGTAACAGTATAAACAAACATATGCAATCAAAAGTAAAGCTGAACACTTGGTTTCTGTTTCAGAGTTTCAGAGCCTGATCCAAATCACACTCTGGAGGAGAGAGTAGTCCACTGGTATTTCAAACAACTCGATAAAAATTCCAGTGGTGACATTGGCAAGAAAGAAATCAAGCCATTTAAGAGATTCCTACGGAAGAAATCAAAACCTAAAAAGTGCGTGAAGAAGTTTGTGGAATACTGTGATGTGAACAACGATAAGTCCTTGTCAGTTCAAGAATTAATGGGCTGCCTGGGCGTAACAAAAGAAGAAGGTAAAGCAGAAACAAAGAAACGCCATAGTAAGAACCTTTTCTAACTATCTTTTTCACTAAATTCTTCAAAGAAAGAAACAAAGTTGGTATTTGTATATACTAGAAGTATACAAAATAAAAATGTATATCTGCCTGTAGCTATTGGAATTGTTGCTTAGGGCAGATGAGAGGAAAGCTGCTTCTTAGTATACAAATCATCACTTCATGTCCCAACAGAGTCAAAACTTCCTGGGACTGATCATTACATGCCCACTTGTTGGAGTTACGCTGATGTGTTACAGCAGGAAGACCAAGAGATATGATACTATTGACAGTTACCTGAAAGCCAATTCCGGAAAGGAAGCACATTTTTTCCCCTTCTAATAGCTTCTCGTTTCTCAAATGTGATTTAGAGATACAGTGAGGAACGTGGTCATCTATCAAATAGCTGCAACAATTCCTGGTAAACAGCCACTTTACGCGGCTGCAACACTGGTAGATAGGGGAACAGCATATATAGTGTGTAATAGTCCCTGAAGAATTCGTTCACACAGTTCTGGAAAACAAAGAATTAAAAAAATCTTTGCAAACAACAACAGTAGATGCCCATTTTTTTTACTATAAGAAATTGTAAAATATGAATATAGGCAATTTTTTCTGTTTGCTTGGGGCCCCAAAATGAAGCCAGGACAGTAAAACAAAGGTATCAGAGTGAATGAAGAGCAAGCTAAGTGGGAAATGCAGTCAAAATAAAATGGTTTACACATAATTGGTTGTATTACCTTTTCAGTCTAGAAAGGGTATGTTGCAGAAAGAAGGAATAGGCATACAGTGCACTATTAAAATAAGTTGTCTGTGACTGTATGAAGTGGATTTCTTAAAACAAATGTATCAAACTCAGGATTATTTCTCTGTGTGTGTGTGTTTTTTGTGGGGGGGAGGGATTTAATAATAATCCCTTGCATTTTTCGTTCATAAGGAGAAGGTGAAAACATGTATATAAAGGTGAATAAGTGTTACTGTCTTTATGCTACAGATGGAGAAACTGAAATATAACACCTTTTTTACAGTGGCTTAAAATGGAGGCTGTTATGCTCACTTTATGTGTTAACATCCACTTCTGTACTGCAGCAGCCAGCATTCCTTTGCCTTACTGTAAATGAAATTTGGGTCCCAAGTCATTGGTGCAGGACATAAAGGAGGCTGTAGCAAAACTCAGACCAAAACCCACTTTTTCTTGCCTATTTTCCTATGTCCATTCCAGTGAAAAACAAAAGATAAGGATTCTCCTCCTGCCCGTAAGCTGCCTGTTTCAGAGGAGAAAGTTGTAAGATATATGAAATTATATGAAGATTACACAGAGAGCTAAAGTAAAAATTTTAGCTAGAGTAAAAATTATATTCACCATGACTGGGGATTTTGACAGAACTTCTCCAAAAAATGTAGTGAAAAATGAGAACACTCATTTTTTGGAAGGAAAAAAAACCTCAAAATTTTGTATTGAAAAACTAATTTGAAAAAAAAAAATTAACCAAATCATTTGGTTGCTTTTCAGTTTCCTAACAATACATACTTCTTAAAACAAGAAAATAAAAATCGCTTTTATTTGTTAAAGTGTCAGCATCCTGTTTTGTTTCTCTTACCTTTATAATTAAAGTTTATATGCATATACAAAAACATCATTTCCTCATTCAAGACATTTCCTTACTGATAATCCTTTTACTTCCACAAAAGAAATCAGTCACCACTTCACTGAAGTTAGAGTTATACTTTCAGGAATAGGTGAGACCCTTTTCATCTCAGGTGTGAAAGCTGAGATACATAGATGACTCTCTATGACTTTGTCTGAGTCCCAGATGTCTTGTGAGAACCAATTGAAGCAATGTAAAATTCAGTGATCTCCAGTATATATTTTCTCTGGGGAATGGTAGTTTCTGCAGCATTTTTTCAAGATCCAGTTTAGTTCCTCACTCTTAGCTCAGCTTGATTCACCAGCAAACAGATGGAAGATCGGGAAGCTGAGTTCTTCTCAAGCCTCTCAGGTTTGCTTTTGAAGGTGACTAGTCCAGCAGGCTCATGCAGACTCATTTAGAGTACCGTCTTGGTCTTTGGCATTAACAAGAAGCTTAAAAGCCAGAGATAATCATATGCTTTTACCGCTTAAATGTGAACAATGTTTTTGGCTGGTAGCGCTAGTGTTCTTATGTGGTATATGTAAGCAAAGTGAATGTTTCCAGGTAATCTTTGCTTTTCCATGCTTCTTTCCCACCAGGGATATTGGACTATATTTACTGCTGAGGATTTAATAAATGTGAAATGCTTGACGTTGATTGACTGGATGCAGCCTGTCCTAGGCAAATGTCACGTATTAACTGGCAAGAAATTCTGTTATTCAGCTTTCAGATAACTGCATGAAAGAAGCAGCGTCTATAATAAGGAAAGAAAAAAATTGATGATGCAATTAAAAATCTGAAATATTTTATCTCACTGAAAGCTGTGAATCCTTTTTCAGAATGAGGACTTGAATTCTTGAGGAAGCTATATGTAACTTGCAAACGATGTTCATAATATTTTCTTCTCTCCCTTTTAGCAGCCCCTAAAACCAATACCGAGAGCACTTCATCCAACAGGCAGGTGAGTACTGAGCAGAGCAAGATCTCCATTCTTGTCTTGCCCAGCTGAACATTTTGTTGTTTTAGCTGTTACTGTTGCAGCTTGAAACTGTATTTATCTGCCATTCTACAGGCTCTTTAGGAAAATACAGGGCAGCATCCTGGTAAGCTAAACTTGACTTCGTATACTTCTCAGGAAAGTTAGATCAATCAACTGCAGGTGCAGAGTAAATGTGCCTGAATGCAAGGTGGATTAGACCTGTATTTGGATGTTCCTACTAAAGTGTAAAGTGACATCTAAGTTAGTGATACTTAGATGACTGTAATTTCAGCCCTTATATGAGTCTTCTGCCTCCTGAATGACAGCATTCCCAAACACTTTTAAATGTGGACTGCTTTATTGTCATCTACCTTTTCCTTTAGTTGATCTCTGTTAACTTCCTGCGAATCATACTACAGACACAAACTTACACTGGTCAAAATTACTCTTTGTGAAGAGAGCTATGCATTTCTTATGCCTATGAAAATCCGTACATCTAAACCCCACTTAATTATTGTATGGTGGATTTAAACACCTTTTAAAATCTTAGTGTAGAGAAAAGAGTTGTCACTTTGTGACAAATGCCTTTGCTAGCTGAGCTAAATGATTCTGGAGGCCTAGGATTTGCATCAGTTAGATGATGTATCTTATAACTAAAATTGGTTTGGTCTGTTGAAGGATTGTAAAAAGTAAGAAAATCTCAAGTGCCCTGACAACTTAATCTGTGGTTGGTTTTCAGTCAGTTTTCTGCAAAGACTTGATTTTGTCTTTCTGAATAACACCAGTTTGGGTCATTCATAGAGTTCTGACAGTACCTTCAGAGCTGCACAATGCACAAAACTGAAAAAAATGTTTAAATCGTGAAAAGGTAGATACGAAAAGGGAGAGATGCAAAGGGAAGCCCGGGAGAAAGGTGAGAAAAGGGCTTCTCATTTGTATGCATATATTTTTATAATCATTAATATTAATGATTCACTTTTCTGGACAACATGGGCAAAAATCCCTGTTATTTTTGCATAGATCTGAAGAAAGACTTGTGAGTTGGAGAGTTATTTGAATGTTCTGTTAAAAGCATTAACTTATAATTCTTGCTTCGCTTTTGTATTAGTTAGAATGAATTAAACAAGTAACAGATACAAAAGCATCAGGTAATGATGGGTCTTTTTTAAAGGTATTGCTATAAATATATTGAATAAATGTTCAAGAACACTACAGCTGAGAAAATATGCGTTTGGCCAAAAATACACAAAAGCCATAGTTGTGGTTAATTAGCTGCTGTCTTCCTGTCTATCAGGAAGCTACATTAGTTTGTTAAAAATTGAACCCTGGGTGAACCTCCACACAAGCCAAGAGGAATCTTCCTCTCATTGTGGCTAGTCAATTTGTTACTTGCTTTATCTCTTGATTTGTTTGATGTTAGGTTCACACTTCCTAAGGCAAGCTCAGCGCTGGTTGTGGGTTCTACCAGAGCCCTGCTGCATAGTTTTGATGGAATATAAAATGTTCTCACAACTAGAGGGATGTGATAAGTTTCTGTTTGTTTAAACAAATGTTTGTGGTCTTAACTTTTCAAATTCGCTCCCACAAATCACTTATACTTTAAACAAGGCAATCTGAAAACAATTACGCTATCAGAACTCAAAAACATTCAAAGGGGTTATTTTAATTATATACTAGCAATTACTGGCACACGTGCATTGCACTTGAAGCATGACATGCCCTCTCCCCCTTTCTTGTAATGCAGTCCTGACTTGCAGAATCTATAACAAAAGTGTCCTAAGGATTCTACTTTTTTAATTTTAATCCAATAATTTTGCTGACTCAGCACCAATTATTTTAAAAGCTGTTACTGACAAATGATAGCTTTGAATTAAGGCTGGCTCAGCAAACCATCTGTTGGCAGTTTCATACTGTAACAATACCAGGCTGCAAATACAAAAGGTGGTTTTCATCACAAAAGCTTTTGCTTGAAAGGAAGTAATTGAAAAGGAACTGGGCTGGGTAGGAGCTGCTCAAAGGAAACTACCACCTAAGAAGGAGTGATCAGATCAGTACCACTCAGGAGATGAGTACTCAGAAGTAGTGCATCCATTTTTACTAGTTTATCGCTGTAGTCCATTTATTTATAGAATTGTAAAACGTGCTTATGCACATATTCATGAATATTCTTTACATATTTATATTAACATTTACAGTATTTTTTATAAACACACAGACTGACTGAAGAAAGCAAATATAGATACATATACTAGCATACCAATAGAGTTTCAGCTGTGATCATTGCAACTGAGGTCAGAAACATCACAGATCTGACAGAAGTGCGGTAATGGCCAGGGATATTTCCCTTGCTCAGCTCCACCATGTTCGACAAATATACACATACATGCACACACACACAATGTCAATGAGACTCAGCCTATCAGAAAGTTTTCAAGGGAACTACAGATTGTTCATAAGGCTTTGGACAGCAGCCCACTCCTTATGCATCACATGCCATAGAAAGGTATATTGTACCAGCGATGTACCCAGGCAGTTGCTAAAACTGTCTTTAGAGCAGATGTAGATTTAAAGAGGCCATAGGTAAGAAAAGATAAAGATGTTGCTCTTCCCTTTGTTTACAGATGCCACGAAGGAATACATTGCAGAGATTGTTTTATTTCTCAAATATACTTGTGCAGAACTCTTGTTCTATTAGCGCCATGGGGACACTGCTGAAATAAAAAGAGATAACAGTTTATACTTGATTACTTGAAAACATGAGTAATAATGCAATTTTTTTCCAACTGTCTCTCTTTCAGCAAGTTTCTAAGAAGCAAGGGTGAACAGCTTACTGATCGAAGGCAGATCTCTTTGACATGTGGGAGATTTCCTCACCAAAAGGCAATAAAAACAACTGTAGTATTTGCACTTTGTATTTTAAAATGTAAATTCACTTTGTAGAAATGAAATATTTAAATAGACTTTTTTTAATCTGTGAAAATGTAATGGCTAGTTTTGAAAAATTATCACATACAATGTATGTGCCTTCTTTTGTTCTTTGAAGTATGTAAAACATGTTGGAGGTGTACAAGTTTGCATTTAAACCTTTTTTAAAAACTTAGCTTTTTTTGCAATCATTAGCATAGAAACCTGATTCTGTGTATTTCGGTTTCAGTAGTATGCCTTTTTTTTTAACCAATACTGTCATGTAAGTAGAGTTATGCTGAAAGGTCTACTGTATTCTCAGTTTTGTCCAAGCAATGTTGGATATTTCAGGTTTCCAGGACCAAGGGAAGTGTGTAAATTGCTGTTGACTTGTTTTTACAGTTTCTTAAGTGAACAGATTTTTCACTGGTGGCATATTTTGTTTCATTTTGGTTTTATTATTATGCTTTCCAAAGATCAGACAATGAGAATGCAACCACTAATGGATTCAAAACAGTTATACTACAGTTAAGACTCTTGTAGAAAAATGTATCCTTTTATCCATTTTTGAGGTGCTTTCCATTATAACTTTTGGTAGGATTTTTTTCCCTGTTTGTTTTTCCTTGAGTAATTAATGCAGCAAACCAACAAGGAGTAAGGTAGATTGTAATGTCACTTCAGTCTGGTTCAACCTAAGCTTAACAGCATGCTCCCATGTCAGTTTAAAGCAGGAGATGAGTCTATGTGGGTAAGGATTGTAAATCTAACTATAAAGAGACAGGGAAGGCTAAACAGATTTGTCAGCCTTTTCTTCCCCCACACCTGGCTGCGCCCATCAACTCTTTGAGTTGCCTTGGGGTCCACTAGAGGTGAAGCTATTGCTGAACAAATTATGAACAGTTGCCGTGAGGAGGGGCTACTCACATTGCCCCTGCCTCAGGCATTTTTCTTGCTTTCTGGAAGAAGTTCTTACAAGTTTTCATACCTTCTCTGTAATTTCCCCTCCCCCCCCTTTTTTTGTGTGCCTGAGGGGAGCGAGAACTTGCGGATGCGAATTTAGAGCATGGGACCTAAGTAAAAGGGTTTAGCCCTTGAACAACCATGAGTTACAAGCAGCTAGATTGATAGATGCAGGGGTAAATAGACTGCTGGCATCTAAGAACTGACATGAAAAGGCAGGAATGTTGCAACAAGCAGTGATTTCATTCTGGTTCGCTTAAATAATGTGTGGGATCTGACATGTGACTACCTAGTCATAATAGCACCCTGGCTTGAACTTGTACCTGGAAAAGCCTTACTGCAAATAAGAATGTTTCATTTCAATTGTACATATGGATATATGCTGAAGTGATAGCAAACACTGTATGCAGTGGAATTTTATCCCAGAAGGTGAGTACTCTAAGCTTTAGCAGCAGGAGGAACCAAGATGCAACTGTGTGTTATCTTGTATTTTTGTTTTAAAATGTATTTGTTATTCTTTTATAATACTAAACTTTGAATTTAATCTTCTTTATAGATTAAAGTCCAGTATGATATCAAACTTTTCTAGTGTTTTTTCTTCTGTGACACAAATAGGCATCTTTAGAAGCGGATACACACTGTGGTGAACTACATCATCTTAAGTCATTTTTCAACATTTTTTTCCCTTAGTTCTTTTCCATCAGTGAAGCAGTATTACAGTTTTTATGAAGCCTCCATCACTTTGATATCTAAGCACTTTGTGAGGGAGACAAGTAATAAGTTACACAAGCAACTGTAACTATCAGTGTGAATGCAATAAGTTTACAGGTAACCGCATGACCTCACATTGTATCTTATCTCCCTTTCTTCCCTTGCCCCCTATTGACTTCTCTCTGCTAATTCATGCCTTATTTACACCATAAGTTTCTCAAGATAGCAATTTTGAGGCTAGGTGCTTTGTTGTTACTGTCTTCATATAGCTTCAGCTTGGCCTCTTGCCTTTTCTCAGTAAAGTGTAATGTGACACAGGTGCGCATTGCACCTTTTGCCCTCTGTGACTGTGAGCTGCTGGGCAACCTTCAGCCACACTGGAATCAATAAGGAGAGAAAGGCACTGCCTTAAGGAATACTCAGCACCTTGCTAGGTGGGACCCACTATGGTTAAAAGCAGCATTTTGTAAGGTGCTTCTAATTTCATCACTTTGCCTTCAGAGGCAATTTAAGTGTATGCAGTCAAGTATTTTGTCAAGCTGTCCATGATGTGAAATGGCAGCTGTTTTCAAACGTGGAGGGGGGACAACTTCTGACTGGCTATGTGATTATGTTAAGAATAGCCTTAAGAGCTTCAAATCACAAATAAATTCTGTGGCCATTTTCTTAAGTATCCAAAGACTCTTACTACATTAAGTCATTAAAAAACACAATGACTGAAACATAAGTTATTTCATCTTTGCACATATTTCTATACTGTCACAACTGCAGTTGCTTTTAATTTCCAGCCATTACACCACTCTACTATAAGCAGTATCTAGTGCTCATAGTTCTAATTAGAGATGAGTCCGAACCCATTCCTGGAACACACCTGAATGCTTGGCAAATTCACACTTGGCTCCTATATCTCCTATATGTCCACAGGACAGTAAGATTCAGATAGATCTTTGTCCTTCTAGTTGTAACCAAGCATGGCCTTGATCCCAAAAAGGAATCCAGGTGGATAGGCCCTTAGGCTCACACCAGAGTACCAGTGTTTATTTAGTTCCATGGCAATGAATTACTTCTAGTTTTTATCCTATTCCATATGCAACAGTTTAGACGTACTTTTAATTCCATTCTTACCGAAAGCACAACTTATGTTCTGGTTCTTATTGACCAATATTTCTTCTAGTTCCAGCTATTGCTGAACAGATTTATTTAGAGCTTTTATAAAGCTGTAAGTCAAAAACTATTAACTTTTAGAAATGCGTATGTGTTAATTGATTTGTCCAGTCTGTTGCAATGTCCATTAGTCAACAAGCCACAGATTGAGTAATATTCTGTGTTTTGTCAATGCTTTGCTAACTTTCTCATCCTGTTCCCAGTTCCTCAGAGTGCCAATTTTACCAAAATTACTTCATTTTCAGTCTTGTCCCAATCTAACAAAATGCCTAGATTTCAAATTCTCGTTTTGCAGACCTGGGTCCTATATGATTACTTTCAAAGATATTTTTTCTTGCTTATGCCATTTCACACAACAAGAGAAGAGAGCAAAAAACCATCAGTACACATGGGAATTAGGGAAAAGACTGAAAGTAAAATTTAAACTAAAATCTTTCCTGCATGTAAGTCAGGAGTTACACTCTGCACTGTTATCATTTGGACTGGGTTTTTGCTCTCCATATGTGCTATAAGCCAATGGAGAAAGCAAACATTCCTAGAAAACTGGGAAAATATAGACTACATCATTATACACCTTTAAATGTGTCCAGGATTTGGTAGAGTTAGTTAATGTTTTCCTTTTGCAGTAGTAATAAAAGATGGATTAATAGAGGTTAAGGGATCTTCCCTGGCAAAGATAATTTAGCTGTCCTTTTTAAATATTTACATTAGTGTATTATATAACTAGGTTTTGTATTAGGAACTAGTGTGAAAGAGTCTTTAATGTAGAAAGTGAAAGGTTTATTACTTTCGCTTTCTTTAGGATGGCAAATTGATGTCATTTTGAAGTAATTACTTTGACATTAAATAGCAACCAATTAAGTTTGTTGATGTCTGAAACATTGGAAGGATTATAGTAAATTACTGATACAAACTGTACTCTTTGTCCCATTTAATTGCTTCAGTTCAAGTTTTATAAGTGAAAATATGCCCTTTGTTTAAAAGCATAAATATTGCATGGTATTTTTTTCGTTATCAAGAGCTTGTGTGGAAAGCACTCGGAACAACACATTTCTCAAGAACAGCAAATGGTAGGGGATAAGAGGGAGTGAAGCAGTCTTCTATTTCTCATCTAGGTCAGCAATAGAAGTATCTGCAATAGTATCATCTTTTCTAGGTCCATGTTCCCTATTTTGTCATATGCTTTGTCCTCTGACTAATGTCACTGCTGAAATACAAAGCTTATTGAGAGGCAAGATAGTGATATGCGAATCAATTACGTGCATGTGACAAATCTTTTCTGTAAAATAAAGTCATCTGAGGCATCCTTTCACTAGATACTCTCTTAACATTAATTCAGTACACAAGATTGTTTACTTCTCATCAAAGGCGGACTACTTCTTTGCACTGACATAGAATCCATTCCTGGCTGAACAGATACTTGATGAAGAAAATCACTCATGCAAGTTTAGCACAGTCTCTGAGGTAAATCTGTTGTAAGTGGAAGGCCGCAGTTTTGCCTTACATCACAAACAACAGTTTATAAACGTCTGCAAAGCCCACCTAGTACTTCAAGAAGATCCCTGAGATTGCCTGTACCTGTTTTAAGTCACCAATCAAAAAAAAAAAAAAGCTGAATGATGTTTCCATTGAGAGATACTGTTTTCACTAAACCATGACTGACAGATTTCATGTTATTGCGTGAAATTTTGTTTCAAAAAATATTCTGTCAGTTCAATGTTTATTTTTGTGTTGAAACTTCCTTTCCTGTATCTAAAAAGCATGAAGTGACAACACTGAAAAGGGGCATTTTGACACTGGTTTTATCACAAAATCATATACGAGCATATAGACATTCTCGCTTTTCACCCCAACTTGAGATTGTTTAATCATTTTTATTTGAAAGAAGTCTGATTTCCAAAGCAGTCTCATTGTGCAGTCTATGAGCACCTTCCTATCTGTGTATGAGGCAAATAAATTTTATATTTTAATTTAATGGGATGGAACCTGATAAACTGATGAATTTAACACTGTAACACACAAGATCATGAAGAAAACTGCAATACGAGCAAGGGTATTTATACTAGTTTGTATCCACACAGCAGAATTAAAGCAGCATAGCCATGGTGGCATGAATTAGTGACCTACAGGCATATGAAGCATACTTTGCAGGCTTGCACAAACTGCTGTGGGTTGAATGAAATCCTTCTAAAACCTGAAATAGTATCCTAACACATCTCTATCATCTAGCAGACATTCCACTCAAAGACTGATGCCTGCTAAACCCTACTTTAGACACTACCTGAGGAGCAGCCCAAGCTCTGTCAGCACAGAGCACAGCATCTGTACACATCCAATATTTAATGCTCTGCAGATGGGAGGCGTGCTTTTCTCAGTCTGTGGTGTATTTCCTGTGGTTTATAGGTTTGAAAGAGGAAGCTTGTTGTCTAGCCCTTCTCTCTCTGCTCTCCTAGGAGCTTGAATCGCACTGTTCCTGCTTTAAATAGGTTTTAAAAAATATTTTGCAAGACAAAATATATGAAGGATGAAGTGGAAGACAAAGAAAGAACATGAAGCTTAAAAAAAGACTAATAAAAGTTAAAGAAAGAGAAGAAAAAGTGAAGTAGAGGGACAGAGAGTAGAGTAATGCAGAGTGGAAGGAGGGTAATGGAGAAACCAAAAGGGGAACTGAAAGGGAAGGGAAGGTCAGAGTTTGGCATTAAATTGCCAGTAAGACATAGACATGAAGAGAAGTGTGAGGTATCTAGGATGGAAAAAGAATGAAAGGGACACAGGAGAGAAGGAAACCCAAAATTTCCTCTGCCTGGACAACGGCATTGCTCTCAGAGGCAGCACATCTACTTTCTGACCTGTACAAGAGGTCTAGCCTGCTCTTGCATGATTTCCGTGTCCATACATAAAGTCTGAATTTGGCCCCCTGAATTCCAGTGGCTCAAGTGCTTTATTTCAAGAGACATTTGTTTTCCTGGCCAATCCCAAAGCTTCCTTTAGATCCAGGAAGTCTGAGTAACATTTAATGAAAATATGAAAGCAGAAACCGGCATATTTCTAAATTAAGAGCAGATTTGAATAGGATGAGGAAATCTGAACCACAACAAAGATAAATTTCCTTTTGTATTTCTTATTCAGTAAAGATGCAAGCAAAGTGTAATTAGATTTTCTTTTAATTTTTTTATTTCATGCATTGTACCAATAGACGCTCTCCAGGCTTGGCTGATACCCTACAGTTTAACATTTTCTTTAATCAACACATTGATGGCAAAGGATTACAAGAGAGTGCTGGCTTTTCATTGTCTTTTGTTGTGGTTGCCTTTATGTTCACTCTTAGGGTGGCTAAAAACTAATGATTTAAATACTTCTCAAAATCCTTAATCTTTAAGCTGGAGGTTTGTGCGTGAGAGAAAGAAAGAAAGAGAAACAGTGCAAGAAATACATGTCCAAAGAAACCTTAGGACCTACAGAAAATACCACAGGTTCAGGCTGGAATTATTTTCAAGGTACCTAATATTCGGATGACTTGATGGCAAGCAATTTGACTTCATTATCTTTGAATATTCATTAGGAAAAATGACTAGAAAAATAGCTAATGACAGGAAGTGCCTCACACTCCAGATTTTCGGTGGTCCAGTGGAAAAAGTAAAACAGCAAGTTCATAACGTGCTGTCCTAATATAAATAGCAAACAGACCTATGCTGGGACCACCGC